TTTCGTTTTGTTGGATTGTGAGATTTTTATAGGAAATAGAAAGTTTAAATTCGCTACAGTTTTAGTTACTTTGGTGGATTTAAATTAAAATAGAATCAGGGAGGTCAAACTAGTTACCCTCCAACCCAATGTAAGGCTTAGCTCTAAGTGTTTCTGAAGAACAACAAGCAAAAATTATTGCCATAATAACGCTAAATATAAAAACAACCTATAAAAGTACCCCTAAAGGTTTCCTCGAATATAGGCTGCTAATTATAATTGGCTGTTGGTAACCGCGTTACCCGCCACTGCTAAATGTAGATCACTGAGGATTTTAAATAAAAATACCAATGCATGCTGGACTCTTTCTTTTACGTACACAAGTATTATTGGCGGCGTAAGAATGAAGTGAAATAACCAGAGAAGCTGTTAGTAACTAATAATATTTATGTACTTAGCCAGGACCATTGATTAAAAACACCATGATAAAAAACCTCACAGTACAGAATTGAAACTAAAAAAAAGTAACTGACTTAACTCAGGGTTAAACCAGCGACGATCTGACTACTCAGCACTGCTCAGCCACCTAGCTAAATTTAGTATAATTTCCAAAAGTTGGACAAACATTTTCAAAGCTTTTCCCACTGACCAAAACATTTACCCAGTGTTCTACCACATGATCTATGATCGCTGTACCTCAGTACCCTGCACTATGATATCAGGTGTTGCTTAACCGGTTCGATGCATTTCGCACCCAAGTCCCAAGTGCTCGCTCCCCTATCTCCTGTCATCCAGCTGCTATCCTGTATCCTAGCATGGAGCGTATCCAGGTCAAGTGGTCTGGTATCCCTGTCGCAACACCTGGATACTGACCACTCCAGTACGACCTTCGGTGGAGGGTTATGTTACGCTCTCTTTGGCATTCTTCATATAGGTTCAAGGGGTTTTCATGGTTCTCTTTAAAAAAAAACATTTTGTAATTTAAAACTCGAAACTCTTCTTTTGTAAGCTATATCTACGAAATTCATTACATTATATAAGTTTTTAATTGAATTGTTATATTAAAGTCTATAATCTATTCTGTTTAAGTCTACATCAACGGATTAATTTTGCATAACTTCATTACGATACTTCCTTAAAAAAAACTCCAAAATAAACCACGAAAATAACTTATTGATACTATCTCATAACAATGTTAGAATTAGAAGAGAAATGTTGTTTCGGATTGTTTACAAGGCCAACAAGTAAAGCTATGTCTGAACAAATAAACAACATAGATAGCTCATGTACATATCTAGCAACGGATTGTACTGAGTATAAAATATCTTGATCTATGACCTTGATCCTTACAGCAGCCGAAAAAATGACTCAAGTGACGAAACTGGTTTTATTTGGTCTCGCTGTCTTTTCAGCTAGTCCACCCTAAATTTTTTACCATAAAGTTTCCATAGCTGAAGATTTCATACTGAAGTGTGCTATTAAAGTATGCGATAAGTTACATATTCCCATAAAAATTGGTGGATTTCATAGTTTAAAAAATTTGATGGCAGGAGTATGCCATTCCTAAGTTGATAATCTAGTAAAACTATGTTTCCATTACTCACATAATTAATTTCCAATACCAATTATACCTTCTGACAACTTTGCTTACTTTATTCTCATTACTCATTAAAATTTTAGACTTTCCATGTCAGAAATCATATTTTATCCAATAACTTCCATAACTCACGCGCTTGGCTAAATAAATTGTGAAGATGCCGAACCACTTCCCAGGGGTTATACATACTATCCTATGTTCTTCACCAACATTGAGGTTTTTAAATGAGCTCATATTAATTGTTTTAACAGTAACTCCAATATTACACCAAATTCCCATTTGAAGAAAATTCCTCGTTTCTTGTAACTTAAAAATCCCCTCGTTTAGAGATTTCCTCGGGAAAGTGCAGACACAGGAGACGATAGAATCCAGACCGGAAACAGCAACGCAATCATTGCACTTCCGGTGGGCAGTCACGTGCCACTCCTGCAGGACTTAACAGCTGAATAGCGTCACAGGACAATAACTCCCTGGAGCAACAGAATGGGAAAGTTATGGTGTGACGAGAACTGTCAACTCTCGTACAAAGACCTTGAAAATCATCGCGGAGGAAAAGTCACTGACATTCCAGCAACATCATTGTAGTGGGTCCTGGATGGATGAATGGTGTAAGTCCCATACTACCCTTAAGGACCGAGAGAGTGCGTAACAGCATTTGACATAAACAAGTAAAATTAACGAAGTCAAAGTTGCAGAGTTTAGAAAAAGTTGTATACCTAAAAATCATTGAAGATTAGAAGAAAAGGATTTATATTCCTTGAACATAATTGCAGAGTGGAAGGAACGAAATATATACCCTGAATATCATTGTAGAGCAGAGGAAAAGTGGTATTACTAGAATATCATTGCAGAGCAGAAAAATCAGTGAAAGAGAGAAAGATTGAAAAATTGATAGATTGAAAGAGTGAAAGAGTGAGTACTTAAAACAATATTGCAGAGTAGAGGCGAAGTGGTATTTCTAGAATATCATTGTAGAGCAGAAAAAAATATTGATCAGTGAAAGAGATAAAGATTAAAAAATTAAAAGATTGAAAGAGTGAAAGAGTGAGTACTTAAAACATCATTGCAGAGCGGAGGCGAAGTGGTATTTCTAGAATATCATTGTAGAGCAGAAAAAATATTGATCAGTGAAAGGGAGAAAGATTGAAAAATTGAAATATAGAAAGAGTGAAAGAGTGAGTACTTAAAACAACATTGCAGAACAGATGCGAAGTGGTATTTCTAGAATATCATTGTAGAGCAGAAAAATAGTGATCAATGAACGATTAAAAGAGTGAGTACTTAGAACAACATTGCAGAGAAGAGGGTTCAGTGAACCAAAAGCCACTAAATCTTCTCATATCAGCATCGAACCTGAAGCTTGACTCATTACAAAATGAGCACTATAACCAGATACCTATACTTAATATTAGGTATTTTTTTAGTAAGGTATCTCTACAACCCATGATGTATCTGTTGTTCTCATTTGTGCCCCAGTTGGTACATTTAATCCTCTATTTTTAAATACATGCCCTAGTTCCTCAGTGCCCTACTTTATATTTGAACCCTTATATGTACATTTTCGCCCTGGTTCGTACAACTACGTGCAGTAAGGCAGCATACCAAAGCCTGCGGAATGTAGTAACTCGTAACCTGTGAAAGTTGAGCCGACTATGTGTGTTTGTGTGTGTGAGTGAGGACTCGCCTTAAGTGACGTCACTGTGTTGACAAACCACTCACTGTCTTAAATAACTCATTCTGTCACATCTGTTCTAACTTACCACTCAGTTAGCTGTTTGTGGACAGTTTACGGTATGGAAATTTGTTGTTAGGTGTCCTGGTTTTCTGACGAATATTATGTAAACAATTTTAATCGATTGCATCACACAAATTAGTGGGTCCCTATTTTATATACAAGGAGTCTAAGGGCCGTATGATGGACTGTTTTGAATGTTATGCACTGTAATTAATTAACACATACCACTCAACGCAGGTATTTTAAGTAACATATTGCTGATAACCGATAACATACGCCTAACATATACAAAAATAATATAAGTTTGAAACGTGTAAAATGCTTAATTTAATAATTTAATCATTAATAATTTAAACGCGAAACCCTCGAGTACATCCACCACATGTCTTCCCTTAGTAAAATATTTTGACGAAACCCTTTGACATCCAAATTATACTTATGAATGTTCAATTACGAACTCAAAGTAAGGAAAACATACATCAATCGTTTGCGCCGTCGGGAAAACCGGGAATTGGCAAAGCCAACTCTTGTTGAGTTACTAAACAAACACTTCAAAAGGGAAACGTTAAACGTGAATATCATGATATGAATTAATAACCAAGATAAGATTCACAGCTCAAAGAGTCAAATTGAAAGTCAAATTCCGTGTGATCTTGATAGTATTATATGTGATGTAAATAATGTGACGGATGGACAGATGTAAAATCTTGATGTTGAGATCAAACACTGAAATGGTACATTGGTCTGCTTTGATGTGGACAGGTGGACGAGATCTGATGCAGAGATTCAGGTGTAACTTGGGAGTGTGTGGTTGTGAAGTGTGCATCGGTTTCGGTTTCGAGAGTTTGGAATAGATTTAAATTTAAGTAGCTTTTCGCTGGGGGGTAGGAGTGGAAATTAATTGCTGATCAAATGTATGATTTGTTTGCATTGTTTGCATGTTTGTGGTTGTTTGTATTTTTCAAGATTTCAGCATAAATGATTCATATTTCAATAACTAGCGTTTACGAGGAAATTTGGAAATACGATTGTAAATGATTGAGCATTGTACATTTTTTAAATTATTTACCATAGTACTGTATCAATACGGTGATAGTTACCAGATACTGATTTTAAAATAGAATGTCTAAAATTATCGTAACTTAAAAATATATACTAATGCATTAAATTGTATTTTTTAGGACTTTCAAATAAATATTTAAGTGCAGGAATTGAGGAATACAGTGAGCACATAACCACGAAAGCTTTGTATGATTTTCTTCAAACGTTCTTAAGGTAGTTTTATTTCGTACTTTTTTTGTAGCTATCAAATAGTTTGCGATCAAAATGGGTTTTCCTATTATTGCTGTTTTACCATCTCGTAAATACAGTATATGTGTCGATAAGTCCCCAAATTACTTTTGCAAATAGATTTTTGACATCTTAACTCATGACTCCATTCAATAAAGTAAACATTTTTCCAATTGTGAGGCACCACTTACAATTTTTAATGTCTATGGTTTTCATTCAGGATGTTTGGGTTATTTTGACTAGTATAAAGTTCTACTCTGTGTTTTTTACTTTTGAGATTTTTCCACCTTTAGCTGGATCTGCTCACTTATTTTGTTGTGTGTTTTACCAACTGTAACGTAAAATAATATCCTTAAACAACTTGCTTTCCACGTTCACTAATCCACCCTGATGTTCCAGAGACTTACCGGTCGGCCGCTGGGGCGAGTACCCGCCAGACCCGCGACATCCACTCCCTGGGCCTGGACGCACCTGGGCTGGACGTGGCAGAGGTAGAGAAGCGGCTCGTGGCTGAGATGGGCGAAGGAGTCTGTGTGTACGAGAGGGTATGCGCTCACTACGCGCAACTGGCTCATAGGAGGAAGACTGATAATCATGCTTTGGACTGGGAACACATCTTCAGGTAAATGTTTAGGACATTTACTCGAAAGTGGATCAAAATTTAAAGATTGTGTCTTGAACTGGAAACACATTTTCATGTACACAACTTCAGCCTGGGGTGTTGAAATCTTGCGATGAAATCATTACACTGAAAGGCTCCTGAACTCCTGAAGTAGTACATAATCTAAAATATATTTTCAAAGTGCCTTTCGAACCTTTTTTTATTCAATGTACTTTTTGAACATTGTTTGACTGTGCATATTCTTTAGTAGAAGTACCTCAGAGTCTCAGTATTTCCGCTGCAGTACCTTAGAGTCGTAGTATCTTCGTTAGATCACAGACTAGGGAAACAAAAGTTTCGATAGTCTGTGGTTAGGTGTACCTCAGAGTCGCAGGGTCTTCGTTAGATGTACATTAGAGTCGCAGGGTCTTCGTTAGTGTACTTTAGAGTCCCAGTATCTTCTTTAGATGTACTTTAGAGTCGCAGTATCTTCGTTAGATGTACCTTAGAGTCGCAGTATCTTCGTTAGATCATAGACTAGGAAAACAAAAGTTTCCCCAGTCTGTGGTTAGATGTATTTAAGAAATCAGAAATCAGAAAATCTTTATTGTTTCATATTTATTTACAAGCTTATACACAGAGTAACATAAGAATAACTTAGATCAACTAACTCGCACACTTATTTAACTATGAAACAATTCATCCCTAGGTCACCCTATCTTCATTAGATGTACTTTAGAGTCGCACTATCTTCGTTAGATGTACTTTAGAGTCGCAGTATTTTCGTTAGATGTACTTTAGATTCGCAGTATCTTCGTTAGATGTACCTTAGAGTCGTAGTATCTTCTTTTGATCATAGACTAGGAATACAAAAGTTTCCATTGTCTGTGGTTAGATTTATTTAAGGGTCACAGGGTCTTCGTTAGATGTACCTTAGAGTCGAAGAATCTTCGTTAGATGTGCCCTAGAGTCGCTGTATCTTCGTTAGATGTACCTTAGAGTCGCAGTATCTTCGTTAGATGTACCTTAGAATCGTAGTATCTTCGTTAGATGTACCTTAGAGTCCCAGTACCTTCATACCAGTCCATTAGAGTCACATTATATTCAGAACAGTGCCTTTCGTTGTAGTGGGTTTCAAAGAAATACCGTCCTCTGAAAATGAGCTAGAGGTTTTTCAAACAGTTGTATGTCTTGAACGTAATCCTAGAGCCGTAGGAGGTATATGGAAACCATAACTTTGCCTCAGAACATCGCTTTTGGCTTGAAATTTGAAACTGGACAGATAATCTAAAAACAGAAACTCTTTTCAAACGGAAATTTGAAGATTACAATGTGTCAATTGAGATCACAAAACTATGCAATGGATTAGGAGAATGTATTAAGTGATGCTTATCATAACTTGTGTACTTACTATGAAATCTTCTTGTAAGGTTCTGCTGGTATGAATATTAACTACTAGTTCAGTGTAGTCAGATAAGACTTTGCCTATGCATCTTTACAACAGATATCTTCTTACCCATCCAGCTCATTATAAGTTTATCTCTTCTACCTTAACACATTACAGTTATCTACTTCAAATTCGTCTACTAGAATGTGAGAAACTAACAACCTTCTATGATGAAACTACCCTTCCAGGTAGAAAGTTAAATGTTTTTGCTGCATATCGTTTTAATTATAGAAAGTGTTCTGATTCCACAATGGTGATAAAGTTCTTTCAGCTCATCCTGTTTATCATCATTCGAGTGTGATGTCCATTGTATCACCAACGTTGCGAAACACTTCCTAATTGCAGGAGAGATTCTAGCGAGAAATTGCAGCTATCTGGAGTACGGTAATAAGCAAAGAATGCTACTTTGAATATGCAGGGAAGAAAAGGTTGTGGTAATGGTTACGTTGTGGGAATTGGAAAATGTTCACCAGTATTACAGTGTACAGACTGTAATTTGAATTTAGTTGATTTACCAGCTTAATTGCAGTATACCATGAATAAACATTAAGTGCATACTAAAAGTAATTTAGAAACATGTAGTGATAGATTGAATATTTTATGAAATAACTGTTTCAATGAGATTGTAAACAAAATATTGTAATAATCCACTCGGAAATAAACACACCTGTCACTGTTTAAACGCGGAACTGCCAAAACTGAAATACATAATTTTGTAACTGTTTGCTTAGAGTTACAAATCACAAACAAAAATAACCTTCTGAAACTTCACTTGTAACAATAATACAGTGTGTAACAGAGGCAACAATATACATACATACATACTTGAAAAATTTTATTCATTTTTTAACATTGCAGTTATATCTATTGAGTATACACGTTTCTTTACTGATTGTAAATCGATTCAAAGTAGTGTGCCTCCTGTGTATTACAAATTTGCATTAACAAATTTATTTTCATTAGATCATCTGGGGTCCACCATTTAGATTTTTTTCCATGTAGATGTGTGGAGTTTTAATTTTTAAACATTTTTCTTCTAAGTATTTAGGATATTTATACTGACTCAATAATATTTCTTGAGCACTTACGCATGTCCTATTTTTGGATATAACTCAATTGATGAGTTAGCATGTAATTGATCTATTTTCGTGAAATTTAACATTTGTTACCAATCCTTATTTTTACAGTCGATACAAGACTTCTCCAGACAGCAAGAAGCAGTTCTACATCCTCAGTGTGTTCCTGGGTGACATCATAGCTTCTCCAGGGCTCTGCCACCAGCTGGCCAAGCGAGGAAGAAGTTGTAGTGGAGACCTGGAGGCAGAAGATTAGGACTTCGCCCCGAGTTACCTCTGGAACCTTCACAAAACTCCAAGGAAATTCTAGATCCTTGTAAGACCTGATAGGACTTCCTTGGATATCTTATAGTCTTCAGATCAATCTTTTAAAACATCCTTGAGTGTCCAAGAACCTTCTAAGGCTTTGTAGGACTTCCAATGAGGTCTTAAACGAAGAAACGTGGGACTTTATGGACTCTGTAAATTAAACTAACGGTCATAGAATGTCATAAAACATCAAACATTCCTACAAAAACCAATAAACTTCTGCATGTCCCTTTGGTTCCTCGAATATAATTAACTGGTTAAACTACGTTATGCAAAGCATGTCAAGAGTTTAAATCCTGTAGGTAATGAAATATGTGAAAAAATATGTTTAAAAACTCCCTATTGGATTAAAGAAAGTTAGGTAATTTTCGTTACGATCAAAATATTTTTTTTACTTTAAAATCATCACACTCATTAAATTTTACAAAATAACATGTCCAAAACTACGTACTAAGACTTTAAATTTGCTCCACAATTAATTGATGGCTTAAAAAATTTTCCAAGTGAAATAGTTACCACTTTTTGAGAGGAGACTGAAACACAAAAGAATACTACTAAGATTTAATAAGTATTTTACCATGAGTAAATGTTTGTGTATTGTTAAACTAAGTAACGATTGAGATTAACAAGTAGGCCTAATATTTCCTATCCTTATTAGATGATTATTTTTGTTACCTTACGACAACAATTTTGAAAAACCTTTAATCTTTTTCTTCCCTAAACAGATATTATAATCTTTAAATCTACTAGTGTACTTGTTTTTTTTCTAAATGTGTTTTTTCTAAATGCCCAATGATCATTGTTTCTATTTTTTACAACTTACAATGCTTTATTTGTTTCACATTTTAACTTAAAATCCTCTTGAAGTCCACTTTTTACCTCATAAGTACAACAAATTATGTGTTATAATTATAGTTGTGTAAGAAGAGTGATTGTATGTATGTTTGTAGATTGTAAATATGTACATTTTTAATGTAAGTCTACCAGAGACTGCAAGGCCGTGTGCAATGTCAATATGTAAAATGTACAATATTTGAATAAAATGTTCGTTACATTTTCATAGAGACCTGTATATAGTAGGTTGTAAGAGTAAATCAAATTGTCTTTATTTCATTACAAACCTGAGCACTACTTTACCATAGCCATTCTTTTAGGTAACTATGTACAACCAAACAACCTGTATACTTTGTAACTATGTACAATTTTACAAACCTGTATTGTAACTGTACAATTTTACAAACCTGAGCACTACTGTACCATAGCCATTCTTTTAGGTATATATGGAAATAATCATCAAATTGGTTAGACACCCCCAAAAAAACTAGCAGACAATCCAATACACAAGAGCCTGTTTGTTTTGAAATAATGTTTACAGTACATTCAGATAAATCTTTAAAAGTTGTAAGCTTTTTAAACAGATCACAGCATCACTCAGTTGAATGAATTTTACGTTGCCAAACGAAGATGTATAGTTATATTGCATCAATTTTTACTTTTTATTTGTAAAAATATGTATTGTAATAAATAAAGACTTCTTCTGTTGTCTTCGTTATTTATTAAACCTCTGAATAAGTCTCATTGAACGTACCATGTAAACATCATTAGTTCATCTTTATTCTTCGTGGGATAATAGAATAAAGATTATACTACTCTGTAATCTGTGGTAAGATTTATTTTTCCAATACAACCTTAAACAATGACCTTAAAATGTCCATGTTTATGTGTAATACATTACACCTAAATTTACATAAAGACTCTCAATTGCTTGCATAACTTCTTGATTAGCCTTTGACGTTTTTGTGACGCTCGACGGATTTTAATACTTCATAATGTAGTTGTTTTTCTAAACCACGTTAGCTAATCAATAAAAGGTTACATTACCTGCAGACTGCCTTGTGGGTTTTGTTAATCCAGTAGGATTACGTACGTTTCGGCAAATATATTGCCATCATCAGATCCCAGAACTTGAAGGTTAAAATCTTGATTTTTCGACACACATGGTCACGTCAAAGTTTAAAATAGAACACATACACAAAACGAACATTAAATACATGTAGGCCTACTATTAAAAAACCGAACAGGATGTAATATGATGCACGCATCTCTCTTGCCGAGTCTCGACTCAATATTTTAATAGAATAATTAGTTTTTCAACACAAAAATCTGTTAAAAATCTAATTGTTAGGTAGTTTAAGTATATTCATAAAAATTTATAAGTCCATCCGCGGCCCTTTATATTTCGTACTATGTATCCTAAAAGGTTTCCACCACTTACCTGAATATAAAGTCATCAACTTTTATCAAAGGTTGAATTTTCATTCTAAAACTGTTGGCTGGAGTGTAACTGTATTTATACAACAGAAAGAACAATTATTTTCCTTTTCTCTTCCTCTTCTTGTTGCAAAGCACTGGTACAGCAGCTAGTATTATTTTAAAAACGCATCTTTAATAACTGTAAATGCACACACAAATTATAAATCAATCGAATTCAACCAACCACACAGGTCATAAGTCCCCATCAGAGACTATCTCGAACAGTGAAGGAAGGCGTTAATTTTTATATCCGTCTTTTTTATTAGTTTATTTTTATCTAAGTATAAAGAAAAGGACATAGTTTTGAATTGTCTAGGAGACTTTCTTGTCAAATTATTTGAACATATAATGAGTACTGTATTGGTAATATTTGTATCAGCTAAATATTTCTAAGAAAACTATGACTTTTCCAATGTTTTTGTAAATTCCCCTCTAACATACTTTTTCAAAATCCGAAAAAACAAGGGCATTAAATCATTGATGTCTCATACATTTTAATGAAGTTTGAAATGTTACTTGGAAACAAACTTGTTTAAAATCTAAAAAATACATGATTTACGACTGTAAACAAGCAAGTAGGGATGAAACTATTTAACATACACACAAATCACACATGCTTAGTGCACTAATTATCATACTGCGCGGGACTGGAGTCTGGTTTGGGGTGATTTATTTCTGATGGGAAATCCAACTTCCTTCAGTGTACGCATTTAAGAATAACATCTCCTAAATCCTTAGATTTACACAAGTCCTGATTCTATTATTCATGCGGATTGTTTCAGAAAAATGTTCGTCTATGCTTTTGTGTATTTTATATTTAAGGTTTACTATTTATGCGTGTCAGGGTAGCTAATTAAAATTCCCTTACATAATAGACAATATTTTTTTATCAATAAACAAAAGGAAATTCGACCCATATTCTAGTTTGCTACAACAATGGTATTTTGTTTGCTACACAGAATTTGACCGATTAAAAACTAAGATTTGTTTCGATTGCTAGCAATTATTTAGTTTGAGATTTCATCACTAAAAAAAATTTATAATTTATTTTATAGTCTTGCCCCCAAAAAATTACTTAAACTAACACAAATTCAATTCCTCTTCAACTTGCCCCAAATATGTTAAAGTAAAATGTCTCATGAAGCCAAACCCTATAGTTACTATTTATTATTCTAAATAAATAAAATATTCCTATTTCAACTTGCATCAGTGTATAATTCCTTATAATTTTGACTTTGCACACTTAACTGTGTTGTATTTCATTATTTTTGGAGTGATAATGAAATTAAGAACAAAAAACTCATTTTAGTTGAGCCTAATACTGTAAAGGAAGTGCTTCTTTTAAGCACTGTTTTTATATGCAATTAGTTTAAGAACAACCCAAACTGATAGGTTATTGTCAACTATACCTTCTTTTTATCCCCTAGCCAACTATCAATGGATGAAAAAACAAACAAAAAATAACTTCCATATCACCATGTTTTCTGAAAAACTTATTTAACTATTTAATTTTATAACAAATTAACAACTGCTGGTCAATATAATATGTATGTAAAAACTACAAAATAATCCATTCCACTACGCCATTTATATGTTTTAAATCTACTTCAATATCTGAAGTCAATTTCCATAACGCAACCTCTACACATAAACAAACAACCATGATTTCATGAACGATATACCTTAAAATCCTAATCCCTCGCTAAATCACCACCCTACTTGCTCCTTAACATAATGTCTTGAACTGTTACACCCTCTGCCTCCACGACTTCCTGAACCCTGCTAGACAATGGTCGTCCGTGTGTCTCGGTTAATGGTGTAGTCTGACACCTCATCCATCATGGCGCCTGGATTGTTTGGAGTCAGCGATGGAGGAAATGGTGTAGAAATGGTTTAAGACAGTCCCTGGATTAGTGCTGGGTGTTAATTTCATTGTTGGTGATTAATCTGTTCAAGATGTCGGGAGGAAGATCTTGGATTATAATTATTAAGTGAAGTTGAAGTTATTTTGGCCTTTTGGCTGAGTAAGTTCTTAAAAGAGAAAGTTCGTCTTGTCTTTGATACCTTTACTTCTCATTGATATGACCTATGGTTTAAGTTAAGTTAGGCTCTGAACTTGTCATTTAGTTACATCAATACACAATGAAAAGTATTTCCAAAGAGTTGTTTAGCCTCCGAATTAATGTATTATACTTATTTTTAGTTTTATTTGTTGAACTCTGTTAACTACCATCAAATGAAGTGATTACCTGACACTTTGAACCCTGATGATCGTTCAAAAGAACCGAAACTAGTTGCTAAAACAGCAACAAAGTATTGCTATAGGCAGGTATCATAAACCATTTTAAGAGATAAGTAATTGGTAACTGGCAGAATTTGAACCCATGTCCCTGGGATAGAATACTTACCCCCTAAACAGTAAACGCAGGCTAGCCACAACACAAAAAAAGTAATATTACTGACAATTATTTAAATGCACACTGAGTCTACGAACCTTCTGTATTAACCTTTTAAGGTATCATTTTTGGACCAAATGTGAACTAAAATATAACGTTAGAAGTTTACAAGATTCTTAATTTGCCTGTATATCCTCCATTTTGTTTTCTTTAATAATAATTTTTAGGGAATTAAAACTTTGCGTATAGACTTGGGAAAAATGGTATTGCATAGTGTTTAGTTTCAAAATGGGGGAAACAAAACATAAAAAATATTTTTTTTATTTGAAATAGGTATTTACGTTTTAATTTCAATTCAATATAAAAATATGTTTTTTATTGAAAAATAGTTTGGTGATCAACAAAATGGTAACTGTAAATTGGAAATATTTAACATGAAATTTTAGTTTCCATAAATTATAGCCTACATTAAAAGATCGGTAGAGAGTTCGAGGACATCCTGTTTAGCTAGATGATAACGAAGATAATAACTTCCATTCTTTTAAATAATTTGAGAATTTCCCAAATAGGGAATATTCAGTATT